TTACTTCCTTTTGGAAAGTCCAATTCAGCATTTTTTTTAAATTTGTTATATAAATAGACTGAGACACCGGTCTATTGTTGAAGACTTTATGCTGCCCTCTAGCTGTCTTTTATTTATTTTTGTCGTTTAATTGCGCCACATGTCCTTTTATTCTTAGTTAAAACATATTTTAATTATACATGTACCCGTGTACGTGTGTATTGCAAAGGTTAAGGAAAATAAAGGACATGGAGTTTAAGTTCGTGAAACAAAATCACTTGGCCCATAAGAAAAAAGAACAGAGAAGGGAAAATGCGCCTTTGTTGTTGATATCTGTCTAAAAAATAGGTCTATGCTGGCATGTTGCGAATCCAGGGGTAAACATTTTTTTTAAGAATGCGGATGAATGAATGATTTTAAACTAGTTTTCACAATTACAGAGACAATAGGTTTTTACATTTGACAATACATTTTGTCATAATCGCTGAGGGCAAAAAGCTTTGGGCTTTTTTCATAATGACTTGTTGTACCACAAAATCTATTTTGAGTCAAAAGAAATGATTTGTGAGTACATTTTATGGATATTTGACATACGCTTTCCCCATTTTACGAGATTCAGAAAGGTTTAAGAGCCGCTCGTTTTCGAAATCTGCATGCAAAATAATGATGCAAGTACAACTAATCATCTTTTGGAAATGTTGTATCGATTCGTTGCTGTCTTGTTAACGAATGACTAAACTCCTTATGTAGTTATCCATAATATTAGTGGCTATGGCTCAAGTATTTCGATAACTCTTTTCTTAGGACAGAAACAATTATTCGTTGATCTGAGCATAACACTAATACATCGAAACAACATCTGATACACAAATTTAATAATACTTTTAGATATTTGGATGATATTTTGGCTCTCAATAATGACGACTTCAGTGTGTATACTAAAGAAATTTATCCTGTTGAACTTACTTTAAATAAAGCTAATACTAACAATGACCACTGCCCTTTCCTCGATCTTGATATCTATATCATTAACGGAAAGCTTAATACTAAAATATATGATAAAAGAGATGATTTTTCATTTCCTATCGTTAATTATCCATTTTTAGATGGTGACGTTCCCTTGTCACCATCTTACGGTGTTTATATATCTCAACTTGTACGATTCGCTCGTGTATGTAACAATGTTTTAGATTTTAACGAGAGAAATTTATGTATTACTGAAAAATTATTACACCAGGTTTTTCGATATCACAAACTAGTCAAAACATTTACTAAATTTTATCATCGGTATAAGGACATCATTCGTAAATATAGCTCAACATGCAGACTTCTTATACGTTCAGGTATTTCACATCCAATTTTTTATGGAAATATTCTTTATAAAGCACAAAAATGTCAGTATTCACCTCTGAAGCTAACAAAACCTTTAAATAGACTTATTAAGAAGGAATATAGTTACGATACTGTTGTCAGGTCATTAAAGATTGCATATTTTGGCGTTAATATTGATTCACTTTTAGGGTCTTTGCATCGGCACTAAACACATTTATTTAAAAACCAGTTGTTGGTATGACACGGGTTATGTTCTTCTCATATATGTTATGATGGTATGATACTAAACCCCTAACGGGAAGGATTGTGCCTGATATTCATACGATGAAGACATAATCTTTCAATCAGGTTAATTGAAGTCTGGAGCTGGCATGTCAGTTAACTGCTAGTAGTCTGTTGTTATTTATGTATTATTGTCATTTTGCTTATTTTCTTTGGTTACATCTTCTGACATCAGACTCGGACTTCTCTTGAACTGAATTTTAATGTGCGTATTGTTATGCGTTTACTTTTCTACATTGGCTACAGGTATAGGGGGAGGGTTGAGATCTCATAAACATGTTTAACCCCGCCGCATTTTTGCGCCTGTCCCAAGTCCGGAGCCTCTAGCCTTTGTCAGTCTTGTATTATTTTTAATTTTAGTTTCTTGTGTACAATTTGGAGTTTAGTATGGCGTTCATTATCACTGAACTAGTATATATATTTGTTTAGGGGCCAGCTGAAGGACGCCTCCGGGTGCGGGAATTTCTCGCTGCATTGAAGACCTGTTGGTGACCTTCTGCTGTTGTCTGTTCTATGGTCGGGTTGTTGTCTCTTTGACACATTCCCCATTTCCATTCTCAATTTTATCATGGTCTGCAAATATAATCATACATTAAGAAAAAAAATTGAATGAAATCGTTTATCTGCAATCTGTGAAAAATCTTATTAAGTAAATGGAGAATGTGTAAAAGGGACACAGATGATGCCCCCTCTTTCATAACGTTATAAAGGGACATAAGTCAAGAACAGTAAAAGTGACGCCACCCAAAGGAGAAGGGTCAGTAAGGGCCATTTTTGGCCCAATCTCAAAACTAGCGTTCTAAAGGATTTCCTGGTGAAACTAACGTGACTTTGGCATAAAATGTAATTTTTTAACCTTTTTTGGCATTTTTTCACCATTTTTGGGCCAAAAAGTAAAAAAATCAAGAAAAAGTGAGAATTTCTGGATTTATGTTATAACAAATTTATTAAACACAAGTTAAATGTATCCAATAATGCATATGTTATATAACAAAACCAACAACTTAACCAAAGTTAGTTATTGACATTAAACTGCATTCAAATGTCATTTTCGGGGCAAAAAACATTAAAAATATACATAAAATGAGGATTTCTGGGATTATTTAATAACAAACACTGAACAAATAGTTAAAATAATTAGTATGGTGTATATGTTTTGAATTGATACAGTTTACAATATCAAAGTTATAAAAATACATAAGAATGCATTTTAAAGTCATTTTTGGGCAAAATACATTAAAAATCTTCATAAAATGAGGATTTCTGGGATTATTTAATAACAAACACTGAACAAATAGTTAAAATAATAAGAATGGTGCATATGTTTTGAATTGGTACAGTTTACAATATCAAAGTTATAAAAATACATAAGAATGCATTTTAAAGTCATTTTTGGGCAAAATACTGTAAAAATCTTCATAAAATGAGGATTTCTGGGATTATTAAATAACAAACACTGAACAAATAGTTCAAATAACAATTATGGTGCATATGTTTTGAATTGATACAGTTTACAATATCAAAGTTATAAAAATACATAAGAATGCATTTTAAAGTCATTTTTGGGCAAAATACTGTAAAAATCTTCATAAAATGAGGATTTCTGGGATTATTTAATAACGAACACTGAACAAATAGTTAAAATAACAATTATGGTGTTCATGTTTTGAATTGATACAGTTTACAATATCAAAGTTATAAAAATACATAAGAATGCATTTTAAAGTCATTTTTGGGCAAAATACTGTAAAAATCTGCATAAAATGAGGATTTCTTGGATTATTCAATAACAAACACTGAACAAATAGTTAAAATAACAAATGTGGTGCATATGTTTTGAATTGATACAGTTTACAATATCAAAGTTATAAAAACACCTAAGAATGCATTTAAAAGTCATTTTTGGGCAAAATACTGTAAAAATCTGCATAAAATGAGGATTTCTTGGATTATTCAATAACAAACACTGAACAAATAGTTAAAATAACAAATGTGGTGCATATGTTTTGAATTGATACAGTTTACAATATCAAAGTTATAAAAACACCTAAGAATGCATTTAAAAGTCATTTTTGGGCAAAATACTGTAAAAATCTTCATAAAATGAGGATTTCTTGGATTATTCAATAACAAACACAGAACAGATAGTTGAAATAACAAATGTGGTGCATATGTTTTGAATTGGTACAGTTTACAATATCAAAGTTATAAAAACACCTAAGAATGCATTTAAAAGTCATTTTTGGGCAAAATACTGTAAAAATCTGCATAAAATGAGGATTTCTGGGATTATTTAATAACAAACACTGAACAAATAGTTAAAAATAATAAGAATGGTGCATATGTTTTGAATCGGTACAGTTTACAATATCAAAGTTATAAAAATACATCAGAATGCATTTTAAAGTCATTTTTGGGCAAAATTCTGTAAAAATCTTCATAAAATGAGGATTTCTGGGATTATTTAATAACAAACACTGAACAAATAGTTAAAATAACAATTATGGTGCATATGTTTTGAATTGATACAGTTTACAATATCAAAGTTATAAAAATACATAAGAATGCATTTTAGAGTCATTTTTGGGCAAAATACTGTAAAAATCTGCATAAAATGAGGATTTCTGGGATTATTTAATAACAAACACTGAACAAATAGTTAAAATAATAAGAATGGTGCATATGTTTTGAATCGGTACAGTTTACAATATCAAAGTTATAAAAATACATAAGAATGCATTTTAAAGTCATTTTTGGGCAAAATTCTGTAAAAATCTTCATAAAATGAGGATTTCTGGGATTATTTAATAACAAACACTGAACAAATAGTTAAAATAACAATTATGGTGCATATGTTTTGAATTGATACAGTTTACAATATCAAAGTTATAAAAATACATAAGAATGCATTTTAGAGTCATTTTTGGGCAAAATACTGTAAAAATCTGCATAAAATGAGGATTTCTTGGATTATTCAATAACAAACACTGAACAAATAGTTAAAATAACAAATGTGGTGCATATGTTTTGAATTGATACAGTTTACAATATCAAAGTTATAAAAACACCTAAGAATGCATTTATAAGTCATTTTTGGGCAAAATTCTGTAAAAATCTTCATAAAATGAGGATTTCTTGGATTATTCAATAACAAACACTGAACAAATAGTTAAAATAATAACAATTTCTGGGATTGTTTCATATTTTTTATTGTCCTGTAGATTATCCTTTTACTCATGAAAAAATTGTCAAATCACATATATAAGAGCATGCAATATTGATTACAGTGCATGATCTACAGCCACTCTGTTTAAAATCTTTCCTGACTTAAACTACTCATTATAAAATTCAAATGATATCCTTATTAGATAAGACTTTAATTGAGTGAAACATGAAATATACGCCAGCATAATTTTTGGTTGGTTCACTACCTACTAGATACTGAGATGGACATTAAACTTATATAGAAATGAACAGGACAGTGTCACACTATCAATTGATTAATCACCTACTACCTAAGATTCAAAGTATGCAATGGATATAAAGGAGAAGATTGATGTTTATGGACAGCAACAACAAATAGATGCTGACAGATGCAAAACAATGACAAAAGCTCATCATACTTTCATTGAAGCAATTTATGCAAAGTATTTCTGAATAGAATTAAATACAGAGAAAAGACCATTTTATATGTACATATATATTATGCATATTCAGTGACTGACAATCAAATAAAACACATGCTAAAGCTGTTACTCTTCAGGACAACTTGCTTCACTATCAGAGTCCTCAATCTCTTCTGGTACATTGGATGCATCCTCTAAATACATTGACCAGTTTTTGACATTACGTACAGAATCGGCATACCTAGCATATCCTAAATACCATAGTACTGATGAAACATGAGCACAAGCCCCCACAACTCGAGCACCCGCCTTACATTGGCAATACCAGCCTTTAATAACTGCAGGCCCGTACTCGATCCACAGCAAGTATAATTTTGATGAGGTATGACGACTTTGGATTTTTACACGCAGTATATCCTGTATCTCATCATTTAACATAATAATGTAATCCCCATCCTCATCTAAATGTTCACAAGTATAGCTTCTTGCTAGTTTTAGCTGATACACGCCAACAGTTATGTTAGTCAACTCCTCCTCAGAGAGAGTGGGAAATCCTTCCACAACATTCTCTGCATCCATTCTCTTCCATGCTGAAATTCTCCTGTCCAATTTTTCTTCCACCACTCTGTCATACAAGGCATTCCCTTTGGATGCTAACATCTTAAAATAATAATTATACAACATAAGCAATTTAAATTAATAATTAATTTAATTGTAGTTGTTTACTGGTATCCTGTAATGTTTGATTCCCGATATCATGATGATGCCATTTAATATTTTATAAAATAATATTGATTGTTCAATATTTAATATAAGAAGATTTGACAAGCCTTAGAAACAGGTAGAAATGAAAGGTTTTGCCGAACATTTCCTCCTTGTTTAAGGACCAGCACAAGTAAAATTGATATTTTCTGACAATGTGTGTATAATGTTTTTATCCTATTACAAATACAAATTAAGACAAATAAAAGATTCTCAGAATAGATGTGGACAACCTGTGTTTTCGGCTGTGAATTATATCGCATGAAGTTCTGGAGCACTACATGTATTTGGTGAGAATGTGACACCATAATCAATTATCTGAGTTACCAACCAGAACGCTTAGCAAAACATCATTGAATGTCTATGGAATAGATTTGATACCAGAATAACCACTTCCGTCAATGGGTGTGGCTTAAAAGTGACGTTTGTTTACTAAATGAATATTACTTTAGTTTATTCGTACCCTGAATTTGTATGAGTAAACAGGCTCATTGCAGAATAATATTATCTTTATGGGCTTTGACAATATAAAATGTCCTCAGAACAAACAGTGAACCCTCAATGGTCACATGCAAACTGAGTCATCAAATTCAGTTTAAATAATTAATTCCAGATGTGTGAAACATCAGTGTAGTAATTTTAAATGATGCCAATTCTTCTAGAATACCGAGTTATATTTGATTCCTTGTCTTAATGATTTAATTACCTTCATTTTAGCAGCAAGAAGTTGATCTTCCTCTTGATTTCCAGAATTTAAAGGCGGTTTGTATTTATTACAAATAGCAGCAACTAGTTTGATATCATCTCCAATGCGTGGTATCTGTGTGTTTCGCACAACATTTGCCAGGTACCGCCACAGCTTCAGTCTGCCATTCACAGACTCCACCACCCATCTTATTTTTTTATCAACCTGGATGAATTTGCCTGAAATGTGAAATTGCAATTAATAATCCTAGCATTTTTTATTGAGCTCAAAAAGACGTTAGGAAACTAGAAAATTTTGGTATCCATTTGGAATACTTTTAATAAGACTTGGTAATCTGTACAACTACATATTGTGTCATTGTTACCAATCAATTTCCTCTAAAATCGGTTCAATAGTTTCAAAGAAGTTGCGCTGACAAGCTGTGTCAGTAAAATATTCTTTGAAATTTCTTAGTTCAAAGGGGCAATACTCATAATTTGGCTGATAAAAAATTCCTGGTAATATGAACATCTACAAATGGAAAGGTATAGCTGCCTACAAGTGGGTAATAATGGTACATCATTGCAGTTCATGTAGTAAGCACTCAATTTCTTTTTGTAATACATTTAGTGAGTTGGTGATGTCTTTGTGACATTGACCCATAACTGTTCTTTTTTATATTGCTGCTTAATAAGTTGATACTTATGATGTAACAGTAAGTATGTCTGCTAGTAAATATTGCCCTCTTTCACATTGATCATGTACGTAAAAGTCGGAGGCAGAATAAATAATAATGACGATCAAGATGAATGAATATCTGGGTTTTTCATAATGAGTACTGATACTGAACAGACACTATTTACAAGGGCAGTTTATCGCTTACAATAATTTATACCTATTCTACTGTGTGCTGCTTCTGTCCCTTTTTAAGAAAGGAAGGCATCTTGGAATGGACCCCCATCTCCTCCAGAAAGTCGACAGCATCCCGAAATTCTCTATCAACAATAAGAATGTCTCTTTCTGTTACCCAGTCAGTCATCTGTTCCATATTTAATTTAAAATTATGTTTGATAATGTTGGCATCATTGTTCTTGTAATCAGCGTGATATGGCCCTAATACTGATACGATATATACTGTAGTTGATACAATAATCATCGGCTTAACTAATGGTCGATTTTTGTGAAGAAATAATTCTTGAGCTAGGGGTCTTGTATGATTGTCTTTGATGTCCTGTCTGGAAATGTGTTGAAAGCCGAGATATTTTGGAGTGAAGTTAAGGGAGAGTTCTTTTCTAGCTGTTGAAATTGCTCTTCTTATTCCAGTTTTGCCAATATTGAAAAGTGTTGAAATCATCCGGTATGACATTCCAGTTCGTAATCTTACAAGAAAAAGGGCTATGCATGTTCTTATGCTTCTGTTTTTTGTCTGTCTGATGGATTTGACGTGTGAGATTAGGTCTTCAAAATTTTCTTTTGTAATGCCGGTAAGGTTAAGGAAATCAGAATCTTTAAGTGTGTTTTTGTTGTCAAAATCAATTCTTAAATTTTCATTTTTTAAAGCCATTGATCGGATATCAGTAATTAAAGCAAGCAGTTCTGTTTTGTTGAAAAATGTGGTTGATGATGACGATAAACTTTTGAAATGCAGGATGGCTTGTTCATTAAGGCTTCCATCTAAATCAATGTGTGTAGGACAACAGCGTGCTCCTGACAATAACAAATGGCCAGTTGAAATAAATGTTTTGTGTCTATTTTCTGTTGATAAAGTCTGAAATTTGGATTTTCTATCTTTGCAAATGCAACACGAAGAATGGCTTTTTCCAGCTGAGGTGATTGGTAGCGGTATTATTTTTGGACTTTTGATTGGTGTATTTTTCTGTTGTTTCTTTGCCGGTGGTTCATAGTCATCTTCAGATTCAGGCAGTTGGTTTTGTTTTTTTGCCGGTGGTTCAAAGTCATCATTTTCAGATTCTTCTTGGTTATCTTCAAGTCTGTTTGCCTGACATTTACTTTTCCGGTAAAATTGAGAATAGCATTTTATGCAGGTAACATCATTGTCTTTCCATGAGAAAACTTTAAAATACTTTCGATAATCAGCATATGCAGGGCCAGCAATAAATCTCCTTCTGTTTGGTTTTGTTCTTTTTCCACATGTGATACATAGGTAGTCTTTAGGCCCTGTTCCAGGCATCCTATAAAAAAAAAGCAATTTTTTCTTAATAGATGTTAACTAGAAGTGAAAAACAAGAATGTGTCCATAGTACACAGATGCCCCACTCGCACTATCATTTTCTATGTTCAGTTGACCATGAAACTGGGGTTAAAACTAATTTGGCAGTAAAACTAAAAAGATTGTATCATAAGGAACATGTGTACTAAGTTTCAAGTTTATTGAACTTCAACTTCATCAAAACTACATTGAATGGGGCATAAAGAATAAATATATACATCTTTATATACAATCAGATTTCAATGTGTGATGGCATTTTATATATTTCACATCAGTAGCAGGATTTTTTTAACTCAAAATAAAGATGTCAGTAGGGATGTTTGATATAAAATGATACTGTTCAGTTTATAGCTTCAAATAGGAAGTTACTAATGTATAATCACACAGTACTCTTGATACGAAACTCATATTATTACTTGGCATTTTCCATATTGGCCCGGGTATCTGCCCTAGACTCCCATATCAAGCCAGAGGGCTTTATTTGACAAGTGTTTACTTATAGATTATTACTTGGCATTTTCCATATTGGCCCGGGTTTCTGCCCTAGACTCCCATATCAAGCCAGAGGGCTTTAGCCCAAGGGCTTGATATGGGTTGCGAGCTGATACCCGGGCTTATATGGATAAAATGCTCCGCTGGGGGGCAGCTTGATACGACCGCAGAGGTCGAACCCTGAACAGTTGGGGCAAGTATGGACATAACATTCAAGCTAGATACATCTCTGAATTTGATTGTGATTAAATATTTGACACAGCATAGGTTTCTGATACAGAATGAATGTGGTCTAAGAACTTAAAAAATTTAACTTTACCTATTATGGTCCAATATGCAAAATCTAAATACATACACGGTAAGATTCAGCATATCAAAGAACCCCAAGAATTCATTTTTTGTTAAAATCAAACTAAGTTTAATTTTGGACCCTTTGGACCTTAATGTAGACCAATTTGAAAACGGGACCAAAAATTAAGAATCTAAATACACAGTTAGATTCAGCATATCAAAGAACCCCAATATTTCAATTTTTGATTAAACCAAACCATATCATTAGTATTTGCTTTTATATATAAATCAGGGCAATTACCCCCAAACTCAAACCCAGCTTTCCCTTTGTAATATGGAACCTTATAGTACAATTGCATAAAGATCCATACACTTACACACAAGTTATTGTCCTGAAACTAGAAAAATGCTTGTTTTTTGCCCCTTTTTGGCCCCTTATTCCTAAAATTTGGAGGCAATTACCCCCAAACTCAATCCCAGCATTCCTTTATGGTATGGTACCTTGCAGTACAATTTCAGAAAGATCCATACACTTGAACACAAGTTATTGTCTGGAAACTAGAAAAATGCTTATTTTTGGCCCCTTTTTGGCCCCTAATTCCTAAACGTTTTAGGCAATTACCCCCAAACTCAATTCCAGCTTACCTTTGTGATATGGAACCTTGCAGTACAATTTCTGAAAGATTAATACATTTACACACAAGTTATTGTCCTGAAACTAGAAAAATGCTTGTTTTTTTACCCTTTTTTGGCCCCTAATTCCTAAAATTTTGAAGCAATTACCACCAAAATCAATCCCAGCATTCCCTTTGTGATATGGAACCTTGTGGTACAATGTCAGAGAGATCCATACACTAACACACTAGTTATTGTCTGGAAGTTACAAAAATGTTTATTTTTGGCCCCTTATTCCTTATCTGTTGGTGCCATAACCCCCAAAATCAATCCCGACCTTCCTTTTGTGGTATTGAATCTTATGGTAAAATTTCAGAGAGATCCATTCACTTAAACTAAAGTTATTGTCCGGAAACTAAATGTGTCTTCTGATGACGCAGACGACAACATGCTAACATTATACGACGCAAAAAATGTTTGTAATCGTATAAAAATGACATGTAATAATCTATTTATCACATATTTTCCAGTTGGAGAAGAAAGGAAGCATACATATTAAATTCTGTCTAATATTTTCAACAAAATCTACAAAACATTTGATGCAAAAAGTCACAAATATGTATCACAGTGAGTTAATGATG